GCCGCTGCTTTGAGCTTCTACAGCTGACAGAAAGATGAGCGAATTTTCACTGTTCCCATTTGGAAACAGCACTAGGATTACCCATGCCTTCAGTTCACCTATCACAGAGCACCTACCTGAACAACTGAACCAGAGGCAGGCACTGTCGCTAAGGTAAAGTGGGCAGTGAGACCACCCTGACACTCACAGCACACAGGACACCAGGACTTCCAGAAAGACAAAAGGAACGTCTCTGGTTTAGCTGAGGTAGGCAAGTCCGCCAGCCAGCCCACCCATCTGTCCATCCAACACCCAAACCCTCTCTTCTCCATTGAAACAGGATGACAAAGATGAAAAGTACAGGTGCATCAAGTTCAGGTAAGCACAACGCTTCGTAAAATTGACAAATCGGTCAAGTTAATTAGTAGTGTAATTGCAGAAGAGAGCTAATTAGTTTGTTAATTAGTACTCTAGCTATAAAGTCAACAAAATGGGTATTCATTCACTACACATACTTTAAATATTGCGTTTTCAGAGGACGGAGCAAGAGACATGGGGTGAGGGGAGGGGAGAGAAAGAAGAGACTTACTCTGTCTGATTAACCTTTTGTCTGCTACCAGGACGTTTTCTGCATCTACAATGATGACCTTCCCATCTCTCGGTCCAACTGCAAAGTTGTCAAAGCTGACATCAAGGAGGTAGAGTGCAAATTCAAAGTCGTTATTTGTCAGCTGCTCAGCTATTTCCATTAGTTGCCAGGCCAGATCCACTCGCTTCTCCCATGGTGCATTAAAGTAACTCCACAGCTCCTCTCCAACGTAGTTGACGGCCACCATTCTTCCGCACGCTCCTAAGTACTTTGCGAACGGCCAACCCTCATCAGATGGGAAACTCTGCATGTAAAAATATTTTTTAGAATTTTCATTAATACATAGCAGTTTAGATTTTAAAAGGCTGTTCAATAAAATGTGAGACACACCTGTAAATACCCATCAGCATGACATTTCCATGTACTACTAAGTTTTGAAGAGAAAGAAAAAACAACACAAAATATATTTATGTGAGCAGAAGGCCCTGCTGGACTACAAAAGGGAAAGAATCAAAGGACCTGTGATAATATACAACCCGTACCTAGCTTTCCATATGCCATATATACATATTCACATCCACAATTCCACCAACCATCCTATTTCTATTGGTGTTTTATACACATCTGTTGTACTAATGCAAGTGTTCTACCCACCAAGATAATTTTTCATCTCGTATTTTTAATCAAAACCAATGGGTTTAATAATCTAAAGGAAAAAGCTTTAAAAAGTGACACCTTCTTCTCCCCACCACCCTCCTTTCCCATTTTCCCCAGCTGACTGGATTCCTTTGAGGATCCTCTCACTGGAAGATCTCTCACAGAAAGGATTACAGAACAGATGAAGGCATAAAAGAAAGCTTAGAGTTTCTTACGCCTCCAGTATTCCTTAACAACTTACCTCTCGATTAATTGCTACACACATACTCTGTGTATCTGTCACACACAGACACATAACGTTTTTATTGAAAGTAAAATCTGCCTCCAATAGTAGCTTTCTTGGAAGTTAACATAAGAGACTAAACAGTAGCAACATGCTTCAAGCAATTAAAAAATAATTTAAAAACTCCAAAACATATTTTTCTTGCTCCAGTTGTACTGCATGTGCCCTACGACTTCAGTATGAACACACAAGCACGTAAAGGGTATCCCTCCATACTGTGCATCAGGAAAAAAAGATTAAAATATTAAATTAAGAAGCTCCAAAGAAAGTAGCCATAGCCTTAGAGCCCATACCTCCCCTACAACAATCCTTAACAATATCTGTCTGTGCTTCCTTCGACAACAAAGTTTTGATCATTTTATCTTAAGCACAAGGCATCAGCTGACAGTGAGCCGAGGTCAGAATACAGATGTTGGTCAGAAACCCTAGCAGCTCTGTAATACTGGAAGCCACATCTACTGCCAAGAATTTATACTTATTCTTGAAATGCAAACAGCCAAGCTAAAGCTATATTCAATTCACACACTAAGACTTCAGATTTAGTATTAAAAAGGCCCTGAAAATACAAAACAGATTTGCTTAGATCACAATAGTCAATGTAACAACATAAATCACCAATACACACTCCAATCTTTACTCACCAAATTTGCTGGCTTAGTTCACTAGTCCTTTTCTGTGTAAGCACGACCCCATGGCAGGAACCAAGTTCCATGAAAAAGACTAACTGGCCTGTGACCCAAAAAGTCATTGGGTCAATGAATTCTCTAGTAATAACCAAGAGGAAAATTCTTGGTCTTCTCTACCTTAGAGAAGAAAGGTCATCTCTACCTTTTGAAAAGAAGCTACTGGTAAAGACAGAGGAACAAAAAGCCAAACAGGAACTCTTACACGGCGCTGCAACAATAGTTTCTCTTGGTTATATCGAATTCTCAGTATTTCGCAACAGCTGCAGGTTTCAGGAGATATAAAACCAAAACCCTGTGGAGAGATTGTCTCCATCGGGTAAGTTATTTCAGCACAAACTGGAGTCTCAGTCACAGAATTTTTAAGTACAAATGCTACTAATGAAAAGGTCTATCAAAGCCTCTCTTGTGTATGGACAACACAAATGCTTCCATGGTGCAACTTCTCCCAGCAGTTCATAGCCAGCTACAATTCCTTTCTCAGCCACCGTGAACCATGATCTGAAGAAGCACAAAACTACACACAGGTGACAAGAGAAAAGGAACGGCTGTTATCCAGAGTCTACACCATACTTCCTCCACCCCCCCAAAAAAAAGTAAAGAAAAGGTTTGGGCACTCCTTCCCATTCCTACACCAACGATACCAGAGAACATCACTCTACCACTCCGCATGGCTCTCGCTTTAGGTCTCCAGCACAGAACTGCCGAGTCTCCAGCCCAGCAAACCAGCTCACCTACCTACACCATGCTCAGTTCTATCCTTCTAAAGGCCTTTCCGACACACAGAGAGGTCTGAGGATCGAAGTTTCTGCTGCAGAAGCATGCTCCTTGCCAGCTTCTGTGCCAAGTGATGCACAACCCTTCCTTCTTTTCATAATGTCAAGTAAGAATTGTTTATATATCTCATTCCAAATACGTAACTATCAAATCATATGGCAGGGGAGAACCTGAAGTGCTTAATCCTCCAGCATAAAGGCAGCCTCTATTAAATTTTTATTTTGATTGAGTTAAGAACAGAAAAGCTTACAGCAAGCATTATTACCAAAACCCTAAAACACTTAACAGACCACAGCATCAGAGCATACGGGATTACCATTTTAAGATTTCCCTTCTGAATCTAAGCCTTACGGTGTAAGGACACACTGTTTAATATTATCTAGCTAGTCTCACCAAGAAGATGAGCTTTCTAGTTTGCACAAAGGCAAAATGCCCACTTTCACATTTAAGTGGCTTTTGTTAAAAGGGCAAGTCATTAAAACACTTTGTTCAATATAATTAAAGCAGTTAATAAAAAGTTATGGAGGCCCTAACTGAGCCCATATCTAAAATGAAGGCTGAGTACCAGGATAACTTGTACCTACCTTCCAGCACGTCCTTGCTTGGAACAATGAAGAACATTGCAATTGGTTCATCTACAGAGTTTAAATTATTTAATATTTTAAATATAATTTTGAGACAGCAAAAATACTCATTGGTTTATGTGTTAACACTCTTTGATAAATGGATCCTACTGGAATCTGAGCATCCATCCCAGACTATGCTGGCTCGAGATGTCCTCTATGGAATTTTCAGGGACTCTTCAAAGTCTCTACATAGCCAATCTTGTCTACAGGGTACATGTTAAGAAAATAAAATCATAATTAATATATATTTTTGACATAGTTTTCCATTTTTATGGCAAAAGCCATTAAGCAAACTACTAACACGGCAACTGTAGCAAACAATTTTAGGGGAAATACCTGTATTGACCATTTCAAAGAAGTACCTTTCTTGGTTGGTCAAAAGGTCACCAGATTCATAATTGTAACACAATAAGTTCAAAGTTTTTGGGGTGCCTAAGTATGTGGACTTCTACATATTTTGATCACCTCATCTACCCATGTAGGCAAATCTGGTCATGAAAAAGGTAACCTGGGGATGACAGAACTAATTTGTTGCTTCTGAGACCACTGTGATATTTTCAAGGTGTGACACCATATAACTGAGCAGAACTAAATCTCTCTCACTAAATCTACCACGCAATAAGCATGACATTATTCAGCTTCAGTTATGTTATCTGTAGGCTTCAGGGCAATTTATGAAGGTGCTAAGTATGGGCAAATATCCACTAGTTCAGGGCAAGTCAAGTGATACATTCCACAGTCAAGAAGTTGGCTGAAGCTTTTTGCTTGTTTTGTGGTTAGCAAAATAACCTTCCAACAAATGAAGTGCGTGCTAATTCAGAGTTCCTTACTTATTCTGCAAACAGGCCGGTATAATGAAAACTCAGCCTGTGGCATCAATAAATGCCACCAAAATGAGATTTCATGCGCATTCATCATCACTGTATTCAGTCCTGGATCAAAACAAACCAATAAGCAAATGGCTGTTGCCCATCAGATGAAATTAGTTATTTACAAAGGAACACGTCCTTTCACTGAAAAAGAAGCAAGCAGGAGCTGGTGCTAAGGCATAACCTCCAGACAACTCTGGGCAAGCGTGCTGCTTTTAGTCAGGACAGAGTTAATTTCTTCACAGTAGCTGATAAGAGGCTACTGTGAAGGTTTTAGATTTGTGCTGAGAAGGGTACCGATAACACTGGTGTTTTTAGTTGTTGCTGTGGAGCATTTGTACCCAGTCAAGGACTTTTTCAGCTTCTGATACTGCCCCGTGTTCCCAGCTTCTTCACTACAAGCAGTGAGGGGGAGGGGGCGACAGACAGCTAACCCAAACTGACCAAAGGGGTATGTCATTCCATCGAACATCATGGTCAGTGTATAAACTGGGGGTGGGCTGGGGGCCATGGTGGTTCGATAGGTAGGTGGGTAGGTTTCTCAGTCACTCTCTCGCTCAGACTCTGCTGCGATCGCTCTTGGGCTCCGGCTCTCAGGCTCAGACTCTCACTGCTCAGGACCTGGCTGTGCATCAGTCGTGGGTGGTGAGCAATTGTATAATTTGTTTTATTTTCTATTATTTGCATTACAGATTATTGTTAGTAGTGTAATATTACTAATATCACTACTTTATTAATTTCTGTTCAATTATTAAATAGTTCTTAACTCAGGAGCTTCCTTGTCTTTTCCTCCGATTCTCCTCCTCCACTGGAGGAAGGTGGAGGGTGAGTGAGTGGCTGTCTGGTACTTAATTGCTAGCCAAGGTTAAACCATGACAGCAAGCAGTAATTTTTCATTCCAGTGAGTGAGATCAAGGAGCACACAGGAAAATTCAAAATACTGCCTACCAGTAGCTATCTGGAAAAAGCCATACAGCTTAGTACTAAGGAAATCCAAATGTGTGTACCTATCAGTCCTGCACCCTTGCAAGTCTACCTTATCCATAGCTTATAAACCAAATTTATACCTTAAATTGGAGAAAAATTACCCAACTATATTTTCTGATAAGCACAGTTTTAACCGATTTCACCAACTGTGCATACCACTTTCATAATGCTGCATCTGATCAGCACTCAGATATTCAATTGTTACAGCAATTATACTTAAATAAAAATATTTAGGTATGACTTTGAACCACTCTTTTTTTTTCCACCCCTCTCCTTTCCTATATTCTAGTCCTGCTCTGCCTATGCTTTGCCTCCCTTTCCAAATCCCAATTCAACCATGAACAGCTGAACCTGGCAAAGGCCACGTCACTATGGGAAGTGAGGGTGTCTGTCCCTTGCAACCCACCAAGGACACACATTTCAATCCT